GCATAACTCAGAATTGTGCAAAAGAAACTTCTACAAATCTGCCCAGAGAATTAGCTCCAGTCTCAAGACAGGGGCAGTAAGTCACCAACTCCATCAGCACTGCCAGAAGTTAATGCAAAATAAATTCCATGGGAGTTTGCAAAAATGTCAGATGACAATAATACCTTAGTGAGGCTGAGCATATTTTATGTATCCTGTTCATTAGCTGTAAAGCCTGTCCTCATGACTGGTTTTTCTCATTTGAATTAATCACACTATACATCATGAAGAGACCTGCTGAGCCCTTCAATACATAAAGCATTTAAAAGATGTTATTAAAAATAAGTTATTCTGGAGATTTGCAATTACACATTTATTTGTACACTTGCATTTATTGCTTCTCCTACTGGCAGTCTGCATCAAGCTAAAGACATAAGAGTCTATTTGCACAGATAGACATTTGAGCCATTATAAGCATGCTTACAAGAAAGTAATGGTATTGCTCTTCTGAAAGGCTGTAAGTTTTTAAACACAGGTTATAAAGCAGCTGCTTGGCCTAAGCAGATTTGTCAAACCATTTTGTATTAAGTTTATACAGCATCTCAACTTTGATATGCATCCCAGTTCCAAAACCAGGAATCTGGAAAATCCATGTTCAGTCTACGCCATGAGTAGTGCCAACAACCTTGAAACGATGCCAGGTACTGAAGCTCCTCTATGTACAGTACATTGGTTAGTTTGGAGTTTTAAACATTTAGGGCACAAAAAAAAAAAGCCCTTTGCATGTCAATGAACCCATCATCTGTCTACTGATGTACAGCCCCTCACATGAACTAAGTATCAACATTAAGAAGAAATTCAACCTTTTGCTTCTTCAGCCTTTCTAGAAAGACACTTTTGCTAGCTTGACATTCTCTTCCAACTGATAATGATAAATGCAATCATTGCTAGTTTATCTCCAGTTCTTCCTGCACAGAAAGCTCTTGTCCCTCTCTAGTGTTCATCTTCAACCTGTTTATAGACAACAGCATAAAATGTCCAGCCAGTCCTTAGAGTGAGGCTTGAGAACTGATTTGGGGGCTACAAACTTGGTTTTGTGTACAAGTCACACAAGAATCATTTCTGCCGACAGGGGTTTTCCCTTTGCTAACATTATGAAAAGCAGGTGAATAAGAGTATGACTTTCACAGCCCTAACAACCTTATGAAACTTGTGAAATACAACAACTAGATTTCACTGAGGCACCCACAGACCATGTTGGTAAAGGTTGACACAAGGACAGCAGATCCAAGCACTAAGTGGATAAAATGGCATTCCCAGCAGTTTTTTTTCCCCCTTCATTCATTATAAGTGCATTTTTAGTCACCACATAACCCTGCCCACCCTTCCCCACAGGGATCTCTGTATCAGGCCATTTGTCAGCAGAATATTGTCACATTTTACAATATCACCCTTAAATACAAGAGCCCTCAACAGGACAGTGTTGGAGGTTATTGATTTTGAACCTCTGGCAAGCAGACAGCATCCCCCAGCAGGACAGATGCCCAAGGTCAAACGCATTCTTAAAATACACACTTTGGCTACCAGGAGTTTCATTAAGCTCAATAAAGCATCAGGTATTGACTGGCAGCACTATTTATAAATAATCAGCCTGCTGACCCCCTTTTTATTTAATGAAATTTGTTTTCTCTTGTCAGTGTCAGGTATTTTGAGTTAGCGGAATGCTGTGACCTCTCCCACGCTGAAAATGAAACTCTGTATAAAGACTGTCACAAAAACCCAGCAGTAGCGATAGCTCCCAGAAATAGCATGTATCTATTTAGGTACTACAAACAAGATGTCAAGTCTTTAAAAGCCTGAGCTATTAAACTAAGCGCCAAACCATCCATAAACGTTCACATACCACACAGAGAATGCTCTCTCCTTCATTCAGCCTCTGTAAAAGGAATAATACTATGCACAAGCAAAATATGTGTTATTGCAGCAGTGACAACAAGTCAGCCTGAATTAAGATGTTCAAGAATTAAAACTCTCCCTCTTTATACATTTCCTAAAGAGTTTTCTGAAAGTAGTACTTCTTGCACAGGAGCTACGATGCCCCAAAGCACTGCTGGCCCAGCCAGGGGGGGCTCCATGCTGCAGTGGCAGAGGCAGGGATCCCTCTTCTTCCTGAGCTCATTTGCTCACCTGACCTTTAAATTCTCCTGCTCCATCCATAACGGGGTAGGGCATGGGGAATCGCAACAGAAAAATCCAGGAAACATAAGCTGTAACTTCAGGCCATACTATATTTAGCAGATCCCTGGTGTGCTGCTATGGTTTTAATTGCTGTTGTCAGAATATATGCAGGAGAGGGAGCTGCTATTTTATGAAATAAGAGCCCTTTACACCCAGGTGTTAATTTTGTGACTGTCATCCAGCCAGCTAACAACAGCATGAACTGTCAGGGTCAAACACATCACCTAGACACTCGCTGCCCAAAGCACTGCTCTGCCATACCTGCCATGGAAGTTGGTTGGGTTTGTTTCTCTGCAGGCACACAGCCATTCACAAAGGGGGGCATTTTCTATGTGTGCACACATATTCATACATACTATATTGCATCACAGTATTTTGATTTGCAAGTGAGCAGTGTTCGATGATGCAACAATTGTAATATATATGGGGGATGGTCAGATGCAGAGTTATTACAAGGCAAGATTTAAACTCTTTGGTTGATCTGCATTGATTTTATTTTTGCAGTTCTATTGGCCTGATAACACCTCTTCCCATTTCCACTCCACTGCTGGGCAGGAGGGGGTGCATGACTCAGCTGAGGCTGAGCATGGTGCCTATCTGCAGAGCAGAGAAAAAGCCACCGGCATCCTTGAGTGGCTGCAAATTACAGACCTCTCACTAGGGGCCCAGACTGGAGCCAGGTTCCAGATTTTAGCATGCCAAAGGCAAATACAGTTAAATTATCCTCTCATCTGCTTTACCAAACAGCTGCTGTGACAGATGCAGTCTCCAGCACCCATGGCTGGGCCACCTTGTGTGGCCATCCTTACTGCCACACGCACAGAGCGTGGACAGGCCATGCTGCAGGAAGGTGATCCTGTTCAGTCTGTCATGCTCAAATTGAGGTTAGCACCTGTACAAGTGCATCCACATGTCTGACAGCCAAAATCACTTTAGGAAGCAACAAGTGCTGCACAATGCATGTGCTGGGTGAGAGCACCAACACCTTTATACTCAGCAGCCACCACTGCTGCAGTGGTGCCTTTGCAGCTGCACCAGCACAGAAGTCCCTTTCTTTGAAACCCAGTAAAACTGATCCAGGAGCATCTCCTGCATGACCAACCAGTTCCCACCCCTCCTTACTGACAGAAGAGCAACAGATTCTTTGAAAGCAGGAAGCAAACACATCCACACTGCCTGTTCAACCTCGTTAGCATTTGCCAAACATCATTTCAACCCTAACATTATAGAGGTTTAAGAGGTCCATACTGAAAGCCTTTGAACCTTGCAATCAATACAACTGAGCCACTGCACAAAATTCACCATTGATCTGTGTTTCACTTCATTAAATGTTAGTTTTACATGGTTCAAAACACATCTGCACAAATTGGTTAACAACCTGTGGTTGTATCATCAGCTCTAAATGGCCACGCAAGACTGACTGCAAGGCAAACCCCCCAGTTATTTATTTCCTGCTCTGTAACATCAATTTGGCCAACTCACTTTTAGAAGTCTGTAATGTGTTTAAGCTCAAATATGCTGACAACATTGCTTAATGCTAACCCTTTGGGATTCAAGACAAGGCAACATCACATCCAGCTGTCCCCAGTGCACGCTCACCCATAGGTACTGCAAAGGGGCAATGCTGCAAATGCAGATTAATTACCTCCCTGAGAATACCATACCAACTGCCTTTCAGCCATCTCCCCCATGTTAAGGAACAAAGACAGTACAAATACGGGAACAGGTTGGTACCAAGAGGCTGAAAACAGTTACAGGAGGTGTGTGTGCGTTGCAACTCACCACAGGTGACGCAAGCTTCAGAGAAAAAGAGAGCATGAGCAGTAAAACTTAAACCTTCTTTGCACACTGCTGCTGCTTGAGCTCAGCCCTGCCCAAGCTGCCCACCCCAAGGAGGCACTTGAAAATTCTTCAAACTTCAAATATAGATTATTTTAGAACAAAAGCAGCTCCTCTGGGGCAAGCAGGCACAAGTGCTGCAGCAAGTGCCATTGATTCTTTAAAGACCTTAAGATACTGTAGTGGACTAAGCCATATAGATCTATAGCAGTATTAACATGGAGGCTCAGCAAATCAATAGTCAATTCTGCTTTTTGGCTTCTCTTTCTTGATACACAGAGTTCAGTGTGAAACAAAATCTTGATTCCTGCCACACCAGGATGCCTGAGAGCATCTACTGTGACCTCAGTCCACAGGCAACGCTCTGCACAGGATAAACTATGAGGACTGATAGCAAACCATCACTCTCCTACCACTACCAAAACCACTGTTACTTATCTTCTGGAAGAGTGTAATATTTCAGTGCAAATAGGTTTATGTACTAGTATTTACTCATTTCTATGGCCTTGAGTCACCAACCTCTACATTTTCACTCCCCCAGCTAGTAATCAAGAAAAAGACTGTACATTCATAACCGAGGGGAAAAAAAAGTTTCATATCAGCACGATTCCTTTGTGTTCTGGTAAAAGGTTGGACTCTCCTCTTTATTCTCATCTCCTGTAATTCATTAAACCCTCAGCCACAATAAAATTAATAGTGAGCCTTTGAGTAGATAAAAACCTCTTTATACAAACAACTGATATACTGCACAAACCAGCAGATAAGAATCAGCATTCTTTAAAATTAAAATATATGCATTTCTGAAGCGTATCAGCTGCTGAGGAACTTTGTCACCTTCCACTTGCACTTGTCAGCCCCAGGTAGGGGCATCCTTGCTGACCCCCCCAGCTGGGAGCTGCTTTTGCAAATAGAAAGCTACTCAAGCGTTTAGAACTGCTACTCACTTTTGCTTCTGCCAAGAGCTGAGGTGACAGTCCAGCAAACTGGAGCAGTGACAACACCTGGGTGTAGTGCTCCTCTCCTGGGTGTACTTCTCTCCATTCAGCACTGTGGCTTCCATCAGAGGAAGCTTTCCTGTGTAAGAATGGGTGTCAGAGAATTAGGCCAGGTTTACAGCAGCTTTCCTGCTCACAAGGTAAATAATGAGACCCTGCAAAAACCACACAGAAGGGTAGGGTTTACGCTGGTACTACATATTGTAGCTGTGAACTGCCCAATGCTAAAGTCTCCCAGGTGCCATTTCTGAGGTGTTACACTTCAGTTGCAATTAATTCCCCCACAAATTCACATTCCTAAATTTCAGCAACCTTTTCTGGTTGCTACAAGCTCCATGGCCAGGAGGGGGACACACAAATAGAGGTTCAGGTTCAGAGGGCTGCACTGCACACAGTGGTCAAAACCTCCTACACAATTACATCACAGGGAGTTTCACAGCACCCACTGAACTGGCATGACAAAGGCCTTCAGAGAACTCTCCTTTGTGCATTATTTCTCTCCATATCCCAGTTTTGCTTTGAGCTGACAGCAAAGGCTGGGAAGTGGTCCCTTTGTCTTACAGCTGAAGCAAACACAACACTTTTCTTGTCACCATCTGCAGGATAAATGGTATTTCTGTGACAACCTGAAATTCAAACAGAAAATAAACAGATACTCCTACAGGATAAAAGGAGTGGAGAGGTGCTCTGGCCACAGATCAGCACCACTCTGCTCTGTCAATTTGCTTGGCACACCCACAAAACCAACTCCAGCATGGAGGCAGGAAAGGAGAAGGTCTGAAATCAGCTCTCATCTGCAAAGTTTTACTCCTCTGAGCATCAACAAAACGCAGATGCTCTTTTCTCTGAGTGAAGACCATTCCACACCTGGAAAACTCAAGTTGGGAAGAGAGACCAGAGGGTAAAGGGGAGAAATCTGTCTGCACAATAAAGTGCTGCGCTTTGCAAACTGAGCCGTACACCTTTAATCAGCAGTAAAACCTGCAAACTAAATGTGTCTCTCAAATAGATGAAGGCATTCCTTCATGCAAATAAATATTTCGCACACACTTAAACCTCGCAACAAAACAAAACCCGGGCATCTATTAGAATTTCTAATATATATCAGAAAATCACAGCATGGTTTGGGTTGGAAAGGACCTTAAGATCATCCAGTTTCAACCCCCTGTCATGGGGAGGGAACGCCTCACCCTAGACCATGTTGCCCAAGGCTCTGTCCAGCCGGGCCTTGAACACTGTCAGGCACGGAGCATTTACCACTTCTTTGGGCAACCTGTGCCAGTGCCTCAGCACCCTCACAGTAAAGAACTTCTTCCTTACATCTAACCTGAAATTCAGTTTGAACCCACCACCCCTTGTCCTCTCACTACAGTCGCTGATGAAGAGTCCCTCTCCAGCATCCTTGTAGCCCCCTTCAGACACTGGAAGCTGCTCTGAGGTCTCCACGCAGCTTCTCTTTTCCAGGCTGAACAGCCCCAATGTTCTCAGCATGTCTCCATATACTTGTTAATAATGGTATTACCAAGGCTGCCTGGGATCAGGCTTTCTTTTCAGAAATTATTTTGAAGGACGATGAATGAATTCAGAAGCAGATTGGAGGGATCTTGCCTAAGGAGGAGAGCTCAAAAAACAGACGCCAAGCAGCGTCCCAAGGAAAGGCCATCAGGCACTTGCAAATACCTCACAATGACACCATAGCAAATTACACCACGTAACATACTGAGACAAACGCTAAGCTAAGACCAAATAAACTAAGTGTGCATTTTAGCACCAGGCTCCACAAACCTGGAGTAAAACCCGTGCAGACTTGCCTCTCTCTACTATCAGTTTACAAAGCACCACCTTGGAGCAGGTTCACAGGTTTATCCTTCAAGGCACACACTTAAAGACAGCACACTTAAGTCTGGCAGAATCATAGAACCAACTAGCAGGAAGCTTCAGCAAAGCATGCAGTGAATCACAGGCCAATCAGAAATTAAGGTCTCATGAGCAGAAGAACACCTTGCCCAGACTGGTAACTGTAAAACCATTCCCTCTGTCATATAAAACTACCCGTGTTCTGCCTCCACTCCCTCACTGAGCTGTTCTGAGCTGCATTAATTAGTTACACTGGAGGAAACAGAAATGGGAGATATCTGATAGATCCTGTAAATTCCCTGAAGCCCTTTGAAAATCTAACCTTCAAAATGAGGAAAGCCTCTTTTTCAACTCCTTTAACCTGATTTTTAATTGCAAAGTGTACACCACTGCACTCCACCACAGACTTTTTTGTTACAACATAGCTGTATTTTGTTGTAATTCAACTAAAATTGTACAGTTTGTCAAGTACCATAGCCATATCCCTTTGATAAATACCTAATTGTTCTACTAAGCTCTACTATTGTCATTTATGAGCAAGAGCACCTGCAAAGCACAACTGCTTTTGATCACAACAATTAGATTTCTACTGTTTACAGACCAAATTTTCCTAGGAGAGACACAGGGGAAAACTCCGCTTACAGCTGAGGTACATCAAATGGCATTAGTTCAGGAGCCTACCTAGCGCATTTATCTTCTCTTGGAACAGCTTTGTCACCTCCTTTCAACACACATTATCATTGCTACCACGGTTTCAGGTTTACAATCACTGGTTCCCTTCCCAAGCCTCAGGCCAGTCCCAGCAGCTGCTAAGGATGGGGACCTACCAACGATCACCAGTGATGGACAGGTCGTTTCCACCAACTGTAGTAAATGTGGCTTCAAGGCAAAACGAGCTTCAGGTGTTTTCCCCACAAGAAAAATCTTGCAAGGTGAAATCGAGTTTTAAACCTTTTTAATGACTAAATTTGACAGTTTCCATGTAATTTACTTACCCCTTAGCAAATCACGACAGACACACCAAAAGGAGAATAGAAAATGCATCACTGAGATAATTTTACAGTCATCTATGCCCATGAAATCCCAGATAACAGGATTGTGTCTGTAAAGCAGCAACAGAAGCGTGAACAGAACCGGGTCCTGTTTTCTAAGGGAGTGTCTGCCCAGCTAAACCAGCACTGCCTTTGGTCATGGGCACAAACACTGGATGGATCTCTCGGGTAGCCAAATACAGAATAAACCCCAGGTTCTGTGGGCAGTTCCAGTTCAGCTGAGCCTCCAGCACTGCAGTTACATTTCTCCTGCCCTTTGGTCACCTTTATTTCCCTGTAAAGAATGGAAACTCACAGGGCACATCTGAAGACACCAAGCCATAGAGCTATTCTGCATGGATTATATGGCTCACTTCTAACACCAGCCCTTAGTTTACGGCCTTTTAGCTCCTCCTGTTCAGGCCACCAGAATTCAGAGCCTAATAACGTGTGAAATGGGAATTACACATGTGGTTAAAGGCAGCTCAGTCGGAGACCTTTTAGGGAATATATTTTATCACTCCTAGGAAAAAATCCCAACAGTCTGCCTAATAATCCCTCCCCATCCAAACGAAGAGCACAGGATGATCAGCCTAAGTATCCTCCCCTCTCGCAATCCCTCCGATTCATGGATTTTGCTGTTCACATAGTTTCTGAAAAAGGCAAAGAGCTAAACTACAGCGAATCTGACTGAAAAGGCATTCTTTTATAACGTGCACTTAAGAAGTTCTCCTCGGTCTTCGGCACCAGCTGCACACACGCACAGTAAGTTATTTATGTAGACACCATCTCACCCAAGGAAAGCCTTTTCCCTCTGGGACACAAAATAAGGGGAAACCGCCAAATTCAAACCCAGGGCTCACTTCAGACTCACTCAGCTGAGGGGGAGAAGGGGAGAGGGCAGTTTGGGGAGGGAGGAGGAGGCTATGCCCGCAACACAGGGCAGGCACCGTGCCCTCCGTGCCTGCCTTTATATATCACAGTATCACAGTATCACAGTATGCTAGACCTCAAAAGATCATCTCCCCCTGCCGGAGCAGGAACACCTAGATAATGTTACACAGGAATGTGTCCAGCGGGCTTTGAATGTCTCCTCTCCCTGGGCAGCCTGTTCCACACAAAAGAAGTAAGTTTAAGGGAACCTCTTGTGTTCCAGTTTGCACCCATTACCCCTTGTCCTATCATTGTTTGCCACTGAGTAGAGCCTGGCTCCATCATATATTTATAGACCCAGGGCCCCTCACTCCTCTTCTCCAAACTATAGAGACCCAGCTCCCTCAGTCTTTCCTCATAAGGGAGATGCTCCACTCCCTTAATCATCTTGGTTGCCCTTTGCTGGACTCTCTCCAGCAGCTCCCTGTCCTTCTTGAGAGGGGCAGTTTTCCAGGGGGTCTCAGGGCAGAGTAGAGGGGAAGGAGGACTATCTCGACCTACTAACCACCGCCCTTCAATACACCCCAGGATGCCAGGCCTTCTTAGCCACAAGGGCACAGTGTTGGCTCATGGTCATCCTGTGCCTGCCTCCCTCTCCCCTATATGCTCTCTAACAGGTCGTATATATTATATATATAATGGATGGCAGCACAGCCCTGGCGTGTCAGCCACTCCTCCCAGCTTAGCGTCATCAGCAAACTTGCTGATATTACACTCAATTCCCTCATCTAAATCGTTGATGAATATATTAAATAATACCGGTCCCAGTACTGACCCTTGAGGCACTCCACTAGTTACAGGCCTCCAACTAGACTCCGCCCCATAGACTACAACTCTTTGGCTTCTCTCCTTCAGCCAGTTCGCAGTCCACCTCACTACCTGATCATCCAGTCCACACTTCCTCAATTGAGGATGCTGTGGGAGACTGTGTCAAATGCTTTGCTGAAGTCAAGGTAGACCACATCCACCGCTCTGCCGTCATCCATCCACCGTGTTATTTCCTCATAAAAGGCTAAGAGATTGGTCAAACATGATTTCCCCCTGGTGAAGCCATGTTGACTGCCCCTCATAACCCTCTTATCCTTGATATGCCTTAAGATGGCACCAAGGACAAGGTGTTCCATCACTAATAATTATATATATAATATCCAGAGAATCCATATATTTATATACAAACACATGTACGTTGAGCAGTACCTGCTCCGGGCGCTGCCGTCCAGGCGCCTCCCGCTCCCTGAGGAGAGGCGGAGCTGACCCC